ACTCAGGTGGGTGGTTGGGAGAGTTAGGACAATACCAGCATTCTTGTGGTCACTCTCGGGGGGGGCGGGGCGGCTTGGGCTGAGGGCCCAGCCTTGCAAGACAAGATAGAGGAGAGGGAGAAGAGCATGTCTCTGCCTCGTCCTTGAAGAGGGAGGAGGGTGCATTTCTGCTTAGTTCTGCTTAGTTCTTTCAAGTTCCGTTCTGTCCCTTCATTCCCCCCTTGTCTTGGAACTCACGGCTCAATCATGAGACAGACTGCATTTCTACCTCTCCCTCCGTCGCTAGAGGCCGGTATTGAGCTTGTAAGACCATTAATTGAACTACCCCTATGCGTTCCTTGACAAATTGAACTAGCTTGTTAATAATGCAGGGGCCAAAAGTTAGCAACATTAGGAGGATTACAAGGGGCCCAACGAGGGCAGAAATGAGAGTGGTTAACCATGGGGACCAATTAAACAGGGATGCATACCAAGACTGAGACCGCTCTTTTTCCAACTTCCGCTTCTGCAATCCTTCCCTTATGAGGGCCATAGACTCTTTAACAACACCTGAGTGGTCAACATAAAAACAACATTCCTCTCCCAAAGCTGCACATAAGCCCCCCTGCTGCAGGAATAGCAAGTCTAGTCCTCTTCTGTTTTGGAGCACTACCTCAGATAAGGAGGTGAGAGAATCCTGTAAATGGGTAATAGATTTTTCAATTCTTTCTATGTCTAGGTCAATGGCTGCTCTTAGGGCTCCATAATTTTTGTCTTGTATGACAAGTGAGGATATTCCAGTCCGTGCTCCCGCTAGTCCCAATCCCAAGAGGGCGACCATAGTTAAGGCTGTGATGGGCTCTCTTTTATTTCGGGGATTGGCAGTGCCGAATTTGTTGAGGACCTCTTTCTCTGAATGGTATATTAACTTGGGAATTAACTGCATGAGCACTCAAAAGCCCTCCTTCTGGGAATTAAGGACCAGGGAGTGGACACAAGGAGCGAGGCCACTGGAGCAGGCCCACCATGCATTCTTGGGAGGCAAAAGGTATACTGCCTCTTCAGGGATAGTCAGAGTTTCGTTGCAGAGATGCAACTGCTCAGGGGGTACGTTGCCTACGCAGGCCCCCTGCCCCATTACTGCCTGGAGGGTTAGCCTTGCAACAGTTTGCTGCCACCTGCAGGAGCTGACAATCGTGGCGGTTGTATAGTTACCCTTAACCGCGATACCCTCATAATACGGTGGCTCAACGTCTAGACAGAGCCAGCAAGATTTGGTCAGGTCAGGCCTGGAGGCGTTTAAAACATAATAAGCTCCTATAACCATGCTTATAAGTGGTTCTACTTCAGGCGGGGGGGTATGACTCAGGGTCAGGTTCTTCATGGTAGGTGCGAGTAAGGTGTTAGGCAGTGATGCCGGGGCCCATGCTCCTTCGGTTGTAGATACCCGGGGAGTGGTCAGCTGAGGTTGAGGAGCTAGTACTTTGTTGGGCCCCATTCCCACAGGGGAATGATAGTGAAGGGGGGTATTTTGAACCCGGAGGGTGAACAACATCCCAGGGTCCGCCCTACGCAAAGCCCCCCTGCAAGAATAGATTCGGAATCCCCAAGTCTTTCCGGTGTCCCATCCTGTAGCCTTTCTCCCCTCTTTTGTGAAGGAAATGCTCACGGGGTTGCAGTAGACACGGCCATTCTGGGGACACGGTGGAGCAGCCAGTCGCCCGACGGTGATTAGGTCACCCTTCTTGGGGGCCTTCCACCAGATGTGTCCGATTGACACACATGACCAGGAAGCACAGAAGTAGTCTCCAGCACTTCCACAAGGGTCATTTCCCCGGGACCGAGCTTGTGAGTGTCCGGGGCAGACATAAAAATAGAGGGTTCTCCTTGGTTTTGAGTCCTCAAAAGCCTGGTGTATTGCCGCACCCAGGCAGTAATCGCTGGTGTCGAGTGGGTTGGGCAGGAGAGTTAGGAGGTCTATTCGCAGTTCAGGGAACCAGGTGTCTTTGGGATGGATTTGAGAAGTCTGATTAAGGATCACCGCTGAGTTAGTGTCTATGATCTGCCAGGTGATATTATAAGGAGTGTGTGGGCTCCCGGTGGCAGGAGTGTTCACGAGTAAAGTTACCAACATCAGGTAGGTCGAGTGCGCCGCAGCTTGAGCTTGAGCGGGTTGCGCTGGTCTTGGTCGATGCTCCATTGTGTGATGAATTCTTCCTGGATTGCAGAGGTGTCAGCTGGGTGAACGTGGGAGTGATGGACCCAAGTCGCGATGCCGTCTACCTTGAGAGCGGTGGGTGTAGTCAGCACGACGATGTAGGGGCCTTTCCAGGGTGGTTCGAGGGTCTCCCGGCGGTGTCTTCTGATGAACACCCAGTCACCTGGCTTGTACTGATGAGGTGTCGGGGTGGGGCCAGCCTCGTAGATGGCGCGGAGGCGCGGCCAAATGTCCTCATGTGCCTCTGCAATTCTCTTAGGAAAGAAGATATCTCCTGATTTTCAAACTCAATAAGGAGTTCAGCTTTTAGATTAGGGATGATAGGAGGGGGCCTACCAAACATGATCTCGTAAGGGGTGAGTCCCAGGGTGTAAGGAGAGTTCCTCACCCGGTAAAGGGCATATGGAAGGAGAGCCACCCAATCCCCGCCAGTCTCCATGGTTAATTTGGTAAGGGTCTCTTTTAGAGTTCTATTCATTCTTTCTACCTGCCCTGAACTCTGGGGCCTGTAAGCACAATGCAATTTCCAATCCGCCCCTATGACTTTGGCTACTGCCTGTGTTACCTGCGAAATAAAGGCTGGCCTGTTGTCGGAGCCTATCATAGCAGGAAAACCATACCTGGGTAAGATGTCTTCCAGCAGCTTCTTGGCCACTGTCTGGGCCGTCTCATGCTTGGTTGGGTATGCCTCTACCCAGCCAGAGAAGGTATCTATGAACACTAAAAGATATTTATAACCATACTTCCCTGGTTTGACTTCAGTGAAATCAACCTCCCAGTGTGCTCCTGGTTTGGTGCCTCTGGGCCTGGTTCCTTGTCCACCTGACCCAGCTCTTGCATTTGTGAGTTGGCAGGTCTTAGAGGAGGTTATAATTTGATTAATTTTTGAGTCTTGTTGGTGAATCTTGATTTTGGCATGCTGAATTAAGTCCTTTAACTTCCGGGCTCCCAAGTGGGTGGACCGATGCATGCGTTCTAATACTGTGACCCCAAGCCAGTCCGGTAGTATGAGTTTCCCATCTGAGGTGTACCACCACCCTTTCACTTCCTTAGCGAGGGGGAGCTTTCTGATCTGATGCAGCTCTTCCTGAGAGTATTTAGGCTGATCTGGTAGAACTGGGTCCCCGGGGCCTGGTAGTTGTATGGCCATTGCAGGGACCGAGGTGAAGGCCGCTGCCTTGGCTGCCTGATCAGCCTTTTGGTTACCTTTTGCTACTGGGTCATCTGCCTTCTGGTGCCCTTGACAGTGGATAATGGCTAGCTTCGTGGGAAGCCATAGGGCCGCAAGCAGGTCGAAAATCTCCTGTTTGTTTTTCACTGTTCATCCTTCTGCTTTCAACAGCCCTCTTTCCTGGTAAATCGCCCCGTGAACATGAGCCGTAGCAAATGCATAACGGCTGTCTGTGTAAATGTTGAGCCGCTTCCCCGCCCCCAGTGTCAGTTCCTTGGTGAGAGCAATGAGTTCTGCTCGCTGGGCTGATGTCCCAGGGGGCAGTGCTTCTGCCCACACAGTGTCTGTGTCAGTGACCACTGCTGCACCCGCGTACCTGCACCCGTCCCGCACGAAGCTGCTTCCATCCGTGAACCAGGTGGCCTCTGCATCAGGGAGGGGCCGGTCGGTCAAGTCCTTCCGAAGTCCATGTACCTGCTCCAGGATCCCCGCACAGTCGTGCAGCGGGGCATCTAGGTCGGGGTCAGGCAGCAGGGTAGCGGGGTTGAGAGCCACGCTGGGATGGAACCGCACTCTAGGAGGGTTGAGCAATAAGCTCTGATAGTGGGTCATGCGTGCATTGCTCATCCATCGGTCAGGAGGCTGTTTTAGGATTCCCTCAATGGCATGCGGGGTTGTTATCCAGATTTCCTGTCCCAGGGTCAATTTGTCGGCATCCTTGACTAAGAGCGCAGTTGCTGCAATGATTCTTAGGCACGGTGGCCAGCCGGCGGCTACAGGGTCCAGCTTTTTGGACAAATACTCTACCGGGCGGCTCCAGGGGCCTAAAGCCTGAGTTAAAACCCCTTTTGCTATTCCCTTGCGCTCGTCTACAAAGAGGCGGAAGGGTTTTGTAATGTCTGGCAGGCCCAGGGCTGGAGCAGCCAAAAGAGCTCTCTTTATCTGATTAAAGGCAATTTCCTCTGTCTCAGTCCATTCAAAGGCCTTTCCCTCTTTGGTAGCTTCATATAGGGGCCTGGCGATCTCAGCAAAACTTGGGATCCAGAGGCGGCAATAGCCAGCTGATCCTAGGAATTCCCTTACTTCCCTCCGGGTGGTGGGAATAGGGATTTTCAGGACTGTCTCCTTCCTAGCGTCCGACAACCGCCGCTGTCCACCCTCTAGTATGTACCCCAGGTAACTCACCCTTTCTTGGCATATCTGAGCTTTCTTCGCAGAGGCCCGGTACCCTAAGGTCCCTAGGGTGGTCAACAAGTCTTTGGTCCCCTGCTCACAGTCCTCGGCAGTGTCTGCAGCAACCAGGATGTCATCTACATACTGAAGGAGGGTGAGACTGGGGTGTTCTCTCCTGTACTCACCGAGATCCTCGTGCAGTGCCTCGTCAAAGATGGTGGGCGAATTCTTGAACCCTTGGGGTAACCGCGTCCAGGTTAATTGTCCACTGTAGCCACCCTCTGGATCGTGCCATTCGAAGGTGAACAGGGGTTGGCTTTGAGGCGCGAGCGGCAGGCTGAAAAAAGCATCCTTCAAATCCAATACAGTGTACCAGACTCTAGTGGGTGTTAAAGAGCTTAGGAGAGTGTACGGGTTAGGAACGGTTGGGTGTATATCCATAACTCTTTTATTTACTTCTCAGAGGTCCTGGACTGGTCGGTAGTCATTCGTGTGGGGCTTTCTGACTGGCAGGAGGGGGGTGTTCCAGGCAGATTGGCATGGAACCAGTATCCCTAGGCTTCGCAGTCTTCGGATATGAGGCTGAATCCCCTTCTGGGCCTCCTGGGGCATTGGGTACTGTTTGACTCTTACCAGACTTTCCCCGGGTTTTAACTCTACCAGGGTTGGGGCCCTGTGAGCGGCCAGTCCTACTCCCCCCGTCTCTGCCCAGGCGGTGGGGAATTCTTGTAGCCATCTGTCCATATTGTTCTCTCCTGGGGGAGCCCCCTGGTGGAGGCGATATTCATCCTCCAGTCTGAGTCAGAACCTGGATGGGATGGCCTTTGCCATCAGTGACCTGGGGCCCCCCTTGTCTGAAAGTTATTTGGGCTCCGATCTTGGTCAGCAAGTCCCGTCCTAATAGGGGGTAGGGGCACTCCGGTATTACCATGAAGGAATGGGATACCCGGCCCGTTCCTAGATCTACTGTTCTTCGGGTAGTCCATGAATACTGGCTTATGCCAGTTGCCCCTTGCACCCAGGACTTTTTGCTGGCTAGCTTCCCTTGAGGTGTGCGTAGGACCGAATGTTGTGCCCCAGTGTCGACAAGGAAGTTAATAGGCGTCCCCTCCACTCTAAGAGTTACCCTGGGCTCAGGGAGGGGGTCCGAACCCCGACTCCCTAATCACTCAGTCCTCCCAGCTCCAAGACCTCCACCCGATCTGTCTTGTTTCCTTTTTTACTGGCCTTCTTTGGGCATTCCCGGGCCCAGTGTCCTATCTCTTTGCAGTAAACACACTGGTTCCGTTGCAGCTTCTTCTTCCCGCCCCAGGCGGTCCCCTTACCTCCCTCTTGGTCATCGGCAAGCTGGCGAAGGTGGCGGGTCCGCTCCTCAGGGTTCTCCGTGGTGGTGGCCAGCAGAATCTTGGCCAGGTTTCGGGTCTGCTTGTCACTGGCAGCCACCATGGCACGGGCTTGCCTATCCTCAGGAGATTCTCGGTTGTTATACAGCTTTTCAGCCACCTCCAACAAGTCCCGAAAACTCTTTTCCCCTAATCTATCTATCCTCTGCAGTTTCTTTCTAATGTCTGTGGCTGACTGGTTTATAAAGCTCATGACCACAGCCGCCTTATTTTCAGGAGCTTCTGGATCCATGGGGGTATAGGTGCGATATGCCTCCATGATCCGTTCTAGAAAGGCAGCTGGAGATTCATCCCTTTCCTGTTGTACGTTCCCTACCTTGGTCAAATTGGTAGGCTTCCTAGCAGCCATACGAAGACCCCCCATCAGAGTCTGACGGTAGATTTTGAGCCTCTCCTTACCTTCTGCTGTGTTGAAGTCCCATTCAGGCCTAGTTAAGGGGAAAGAGACATCTATCTGGGCCTGGTTGGTAGTTGGATTTCCATCTATGCCGGGAACCACCTTCTTCTTTTCTGCGTCCTGCAAGGCAAGTGTGGGTGCCGGCTCCGGAGGGCATGGAGCCAGGAAGGGCTTGAGCCAGGAGGGAGGGTCCTCCACGAGGTCCTGCCAAGTAATAATGTAAGGGAGTTGATTGGGATGACCCCCCTTCGGCCGAGATATGACTTCCCTGACCCGGCAAATGGTGGGGAGGTCAAACGTCCCCTCCGGCGGCCACCCGGCATTGAGAGCCGGCCACTCGCTGGAACAGAAAGTCTGCCATTGACCCTTCTTCACTTCTGCACTGAGGTTGTTAGCCCTTCCCTTAACCTCTTTAAAATGATCAACCATAATGCTTAAAGGAGTAGTTTGAGTCTGTCCCATAGCGTCCGTCCAGTGAGTCCACAAAAGAACACAAACAAAAGAACACAGACACCAAACAAAAGAACAAAGACACCAAACAAACAAAGACACCTAAGAACAGCCTTCCGACCCCGCGGAAGAAAAACTGAAAAAAAAAAAGCCAGATGGGGGCTTTTACACCCCGCCAGATGGAGGTTCAAGGCGTCCCTTGACTCCTCCTGCCCGAGACCCGCCAGTGCGTCCACTTAGATCTTATCAGGCCAGATTGCAGAAGCGAGCTCGCATAAGACAGAACAGATAACACATAGACACTTACCGCGGACAGAAGACTCTCGGAGTGGGGTCCCCCGCGGGTTTTTCTTGGGGATCCCGGATGCGCCCCCAAAATGTTATGCCCAGAGTTCGGGGTCCCCAATAATCCACCACCAGGGAGCCTCCTCCAATGCAAAAGCAACGAGTCTTTATTGATCAATTCTAGAATTGGCTCCCAGCCTCTATCCGGCGCAGCGGTGAGGCGAGAGAGCGTGTCCTAGGAGAACAAAGGTTATATAGGGCTAGCTATTTGGGGTGGGCTTTAGGGGTGACATGAGTTACAGAGATTGGTCAGGGTTTTACAGCATAAGGGTCAGGAAGTGACCATCACATTCTGAAGGTTGGAGCCGTCCTCCACTATAGCCTTATTAGGACCTTGGCTACATTTCTGGAGCTTCATTGGTCTACTCAGGTGGGTGGTTGGGAGAGTTAGGATAATACCAGCATTCTTGTGGTCACTCTCGGGGGGGGCGGGGCGGCTTGGGCTGAGGGCCCAGCCTTGCAAGACAAGATAGAGGAGAGGGAGAAGAGCATGTCTCTGCCTCGTCCTTGAAGAGGGAGGAGGGTGCATTTCTGCTTAGTTATGCTTAGTTCTTTCAAGTTCCGTTCTGTCCCTTCATTCTCTTCCAGCATAAATAGCACCCACTGTTGTAGCGCCGTCACACAAAGAACTGAGATGAAGAATTTGGGGGAAAACGTAACCTGGATGTGGTTCTCCCCAACTATTAGCATGTGTTTTTTAAAGGACTTTGCAGTACAAAAGTGAGGCATGGATATTTTAAGCAAAACCAAGAGCCACTCTTTCATTAACTCCACCGAAGATACTCAACATTATACAGCAGTAATTAGAATGTAGAGCTATTTACTCTGTACTATTAAAGAATGACAAGACTTCCATTATTTATAAAGCCGTATGTTTTTTTCAACTTTTCACTTCACTTACTCAGATTGGCTCTGAAGAGATATGTAAGAGTATCTAGCTCACCCATTAAACAAAATCGTTTCTAAACCCCAGGATGTTTTCGGTGTACACAGATAAGGGCCCCTAAGGCAATGGCCGCCTAAGTGGAGACTTAATACTTGATGGTCACGGAAGCAATGTCCCTACAACAGTTATTGAGAACCAGAATTCTGGCTCTTGGCTAATGGTAAAGCCACATAATTTCCCTTAGTCTTTTATCCTAAACCAGTGGTTCTCAACCTTCTGGCCCTTTAAATATAGTTCCTCATGTTGTGACCCAACCGTAAAATTATTTTCGTTGCTACTTCATAACTGTAATGTTGCTACTGTTATGAATCGTAATGTAAATATCTTATATGCAGGATGGTCTTAGGTGAGCCCTGTGAAAGGGTCGTTCGACCTCCAAAGGGGTCGCGACCCACAGGTTGAGAACCACTGCCCTAAACCAACAGAAAGTTAATGCTGAGTCTGACCTGTCTGCCAACCTCAGCTCCAATACCCACCATTGTCTAACTGAATGAAACAATTTACATTCCTGTCTAATGAGAATTACATGAAATAATGTTTCTCTACTACAGGTGACATACAGTAGGATTTAAAACAATGTTGTTTTATTCCCTCAAGAAGCCCACTCCCACACCCACTTTCCCAAATACCTTTTATTTGCATCTCTTCCTCAGCTCTGAGCATTTCATTCAGTCTGTAGTGACCACTGGCTTTGACCTCACATTCAAGTGCTAGACACAGAATGACAGGATAAAATTCACAGTTGTTTCAAATCTAGCCAAAGAGCTAAAATATTGTTTTTACTCATAATAACATAGCTTAAATTACAAATAAAATTGTTGCCACAAATAAGTGTTTCTAGAGCTCATCAAAGCTAAAAGCTGAATGTTGGGATGCTGTGCATCAGCTATGCAAAAATCACTCACAACCTTATTTCTTTTAATTTCTGTAACAGAGACTGGAGAATTGAGATGCTTTCCCAGAAGTCCCCACAGCTGGGTTTAGCCATATGACTCACTTCTAGCCAATTAAATGCAAGTACAAGTGATTTAATAGGCTTTTTTAAACGGACAATGGTATAGGTTTTGCCCTTTATTCTTTTCCTTTCTGCTGTATGGAACATAGATAGAATGACTTGAGATACAATTGTAACCATGGGGATTCAAAACAATTTAAGAATTAAAAAAAAAAAAAAAACAGGCTTATGATGAAAGTGCTAAACTATTCTACCAGTCTAAGACTTCCTACTTCCAAATTGCTTGTTACATGAGACAAATAAACATCTTATTTGCTTAAACCACTGTTAGTTAAGTTTTCTGCTACTTATAATTGAACTTTATCCCAGCTAGCACAGCCTAAATGGAGAACAGAACTTAGTTTAACAGAGAAAAGTGGGAAAGAACTTCAGGTTAAAACACACACACACATACACACAGCAGGAGACAAGCAGGAATGATCTATACTTGGAGAAAAATGAGCAACATCATTTCACTGAAGTCAAGGATATGCAGGAGGTAGTAGTAGATAGAATAGGATTGCATCTCTCAGAAAGGGTCCAAATGCTAGGACAAAGAGTGGGAAGTAGGGAACTGAAGGGTTGATGGGGCAAGAGAGAGGCGATTGTGTGTGTGTGTGTGTGTGTGTGTGTGTGTATATATATATATATATATATATATATATATATATAGTATAGAATAGAATAGTGTGGTATAGTGGTCTGTAGGGGATTTTTATAGTTGCTGAGTCCATAGATACATGGAACTGAATTTGTTATTTTAAAAGACCTAGAATGACACAGCCATCCAGCATCTATAACTAGTAATTTTCTCTTTGTAATCTGTAAATAGCCCTCACCAAGCCCACTGGATGACACTCAATCCAGAGCAATACTAGAGCAGGGCCTCAAAATTAATAAGTTAAAAGCAAGGGCACATTTATCCATTGGGCACTTTTGTTCTTTACTTACTCTTATTGCTCATATTACTTGTAACGCCAACTGATGCTACAATGACAATAGCCAAACTCAACTTCTCCTTACCTGGAAAGCAGTTCAAAGTTAAATTTATCACTCTTGCCTCTATTCTACACATTTGAGAAACATGTGAGTCTTCATTTAGGTTCCTCTAGAACAGTGGTTCTCAACCTCCTGTCCCTTTAAATACAGTTCCTCATGTTGTGACCCAACCATAAAATTATTTTCGTTGCTACTTCATAACTGTAATGTTGCTACTGTTATGAATCGTAATGTAAATATCTTATATGCAGGATGGTCTTAGGCGACCCCTGTGAAAGGGTCGTTCGACTGCCAAAGGGGTTGCGACCCACAGGTTGAGAACCGCTGCTCTAGAAACAGATGCTGACATAAGTATTCAAATACAAGACTTTTATTTGACAAAGGATGGGACATTCCTTGGGGATTGGAGATCTAACCTGTATTCAACATGAGGGAAAGGGACCTGGAGTATTTAAACACCACTTCCCATCAGTCACTGGTGAGAGCCACTACGGGTGGTAACTCTCCTGCACTTTGGGCCAGCCCTGAGCTCGGGCAGAGCTGTATTCGTTGTCTGCAGAGAAAGGCTTCTGGAAGGCCGTGGCACTTGGAAGTCTTATGGAGGCACAAAAGTGGTAAGGCCTGAGAAATGAGTGGAGAATCAACAGCAACTGCTACAACACTCTTGGGCTGACCAATGACTAAGAGTCCAGGTCCCAGTTCTACAGAAAATGTAAAACACAAAGATTAAGGACTCACCAACAGAGTATAAGACAGACTCTCCTTTCTTTGCTGCTCTCTAGAAGCCAGATATGAAAGCCAATGTGATTTCCAAAAGTAACAAAGAGGAAATACTCAAATGGAAGTTTATGGTGGGCTGATTGCAACAAGAGCCCTTTCAGATTAAAATAAAGCATGCCAGTGAGAAATCACAGGCAGGTGGGATTATTCCTTTCACTTTTGGTGAACACAGTAAGAGGAAAGTATGTGATACGATGGCAAAGAATAGATCAAATACTAAGACCCAGCTCTAATATCTTAATAGCTAGACAGGAATCAGGAGAGAAAGTAATACTTGGTTCTTCAAATGGCCGACTTTGAGCAGCCCCAACTTTTCTCTCTCTTTAACAAACACTAATACTAGTATAATGTTTACTATGTGCTTGGCACTGTTTGAAGTGCTTTATAAAGAAAACTCATTTAATTTTCCTAACAACCCTATGAAGTACTTACTGTAGTTTATCACCATTTTACAGATAGAAGCACAAAGAAACTAAGAGACTTTCCCAAGACAAATCTAAGTCCTAAGTATTTTCTTTTAATCATTGCAATCTTCTGCCTCCTTCCAATAAGAATTTTATCAATGTTGGGGGTATATAGTCATGCCCTGTATCCCTTTAACAAGTTCTTGCCTTTTTACAATTATCATTAGCCCATCCTCAGACTGTAAAGAGAGGGTCAGGAGAGAAGCACTGAGTCTTCTGGCAAAGTTCACTGCGAGGCTAATGACAAGAACTACATCAGAAATCACCTGATCACCAGAAGTAGGCTCAGCTGGCAAGGGTAAAGTAATTGCACCGGCAGAATCACACTGCAGAATCTTGAACACCAGCCAACCGGTTTAGTCTTTACTATCCTATAATCACAATCACAACAAATCGTTGAAGGATCTGAGAAAGTAATTAAGAGCATGTACATGTGGCCAGGTGTCACTTT